AAGGTGAGCACGCACAGTGGGCGGTATGACTTGTGGCTCTGCTCCTGAAAAGAAACAAACAAATCATTTAGGGTTCAACAGAAACCGGAATGATGTGGGTTTTAGAACGCCAAATTTTTTTTTATATCAAACCTTTTGAGCTTCTACGAAGGTGACAAATTGTGAAATAAATAAATGAGAAGATTGTAATTTATTTGGGCTTGCAAAATAACTATATAGAAATCCCCGTGAAAGATTAATTTAGAAACGACAGTGCAAAGAAAAATGATCGCAATGCATGTTTTATTTAGGGTGGGAAGGGGGGGGTGGTTGGGGAGGGGGGTTTGAGGCATGGGGAGGGGGTTGAGGCATGGGGAGGGGGTTTGAGGCATGGGGAGGGGGTTGAGGCATGGGGGGGGGTTGAGGCATGGGGGGGGGGGGTTGAGGCATGGGGGGGGTTGAGGCATGGGGAGGGGGTTGAGGCATGGGGGGGGGGGTGATTGGTTGGGAGGGGGTTTGAGGCATGGGGAGGGGGGAGGGGGGGGGGAGTTCTATGACTACAACTTCAGAAGCCTAAGCAGGCGATGAGTCACAATAACGTGGCTAAAGTATGTTGCCCAGACCACACACTAGAAGGTGAAGGGACGACGACGTTTCGGTCCGTCCTGGACCATTCTCAAGTCGATTCAAGTCGGAATCGACTTGAGAATGGTCCAGGACGGACCGAAGCGTCGTCGTCCGTTCAGAAGCCTAACCTCCGGCAAGGCTGCGTAATTAAGACAACTCTAGAAATCCTCCACAGGCATTATCCACACACATCCTCATCACGACCCTCTCACTTCGATTAATGAATCAACTTTTACTATTCTTAACGAACGTTTCAAGCAGTACTTCTTAAATCGGTAGTCAAGAAGTAGGTAATTATGAAAATAAGTAGAGTAGTTAAGGAGTCAAAATGCATTAACTGTTCATACGTCAGACTTAGAGAGGCAAAAATTGGTATTTAAATGCCTAAACTGTTTGTGCATTTATAAGCCTTTTCCATAAACCACCTCGTTTAGGTTCACTAGTCTTGTCATTTGAACTTAGTAGTTACTTCGTATTAGTTTACATGCTGCTAGTTATTACAAGGAATTACTAGTAGGAGCTTCATGAATCATTGTTTATATGTAATTTGTAATCCATGAGAGAGAGAGAGAGAGAGAGAGAGAGAGAGAGAGAGAGAGAGAGAGAGAGAGAGAGAGAGAGAGAGAGAGAGAGAGAGAGAGAGAGAGAGAGAGAGAGAGATTCTGGAAGCAGAAACGAGACAGAACCCAAAGCTCCAGTCTCGCTATATATCTGCTTGATACCTGGTTGATGGGGTTCTGGGAGTTCTTCTACTCCCCAAGCCCGGCCCGAGGCCAGGCTTGACTTGTGAGAGTTTGGCCCACCAGTCTGTTGCTTGGAGCGGCCCCCCGCAGGCCCACATACCCACCACAGCCCGGTTGGTCCGGGCATATAGCATGAATACAGAACCTAGAACGACCATGAAAGGCCAATTTCCTCCCACGATATAGACAACCTGGCAACCTTAAAGCACCAGACTGAAAATTATGTCTTGTATAACGAGTGCCTGGCTCCCCCCCTCCCCCCCCCCCCTACGCGGCCTAAACAGGCTGCAACCCGCTCTAATTATAACCTTTATAAGTCTAAGTTACGACTGGCGAAAATTAAATTACTTGCATTGGTGGGCAAGGTGCTCAGAAAATTAGAATGGCGATGCCTTCGAGTCGCGTTCGGTTTTATGGTCCCAGCCGGACCCCTTCGTGCGTTCTTCCTTCCGGGTCCGACGTGCTGGGTTTCAGGCCCCCGACGTACTGGGTTTCAGGTCCCCGACGCGCTGGGTTTCAGGCCCCCGACGCGCTGGGTTTCAGGCCCCCGACGCGCTGGGTTTCAGGCCCCCGACGCGCTGGGTTTCAGGCCCCCGACGCGCTGGGTTTCAGGCCCCCGACGCGCTGGGTTTCAGGCCCCCGACGCGCTGGGTTTCAGGCCCCCGACGCGCTGGGTTTCAGGCCCCCGACGCGCTGGGTTTCAGGCCCCCGACGTGCTGGGTTTCAGGCCCCGACAAAGAGCATATGAAGAGCGCCTGTTGGACCATGCAAGGCAGGTCCTCTTTACATACACTCCGGTTTTTGAGGCTGAACGGTAGAGCGACGGTCTCCCGTCATGCAGGTCGGCGTTCAATCCCCGACTGTCCAAATGTGGCTGAGCACCATTCCTTTCCCTCGTCCCATCCCAAATCCTTATTCTGACCCCTTCCAAGTGCTAATATAGTCGCAATTGCTTGGCTCTTTCCCCTGATAAGTTCCTCTGGTGAGCTTGTATCGGTAAATCACATGGTAATCTGTGCCCCCAGATCACCAACTCTATTTCCACACCAGTGTTTAAATATAAATTTATTCAGTTTCAATACAATGTTGGTATTCTAACCTTGGTTTATTTTATACACTCCTATCTATATTCCCTTTGTGAACCCTCTCCAATCTGGTGAACGTTGACATGAATAATTCGTTTTGTCCGGGACAGAAAGCCTGTGTGTATGTGTGTGAGTGTACTCACCTAGTTGTGCTTGCGGGGGTTGAGGTTTGGCTCTTTGGTCTCGCCTCTCAACCTTCAATCTACTGGTGTATAGATTTCTGAGCTTCTCGAGCTCTATCATATCTACATTTGAAATTGTGTATGGAGTCAGCCTCCACCACATTACTTCCTAGTGCATTCCATTTACAAACTACTCTGACTCTGAAAAAGTTCTTCCTAATGTCTCTGTGGCTCATTTGGGTACTCAGCTTCCACCTGTGTCCCCTTGAGCGTGTACCACCCGTGTGAAATAATCCATCCTTGTCTACTCTGTCAATTCCCCTGAGAATTTTGTATGTGGTGATCAGGTCTCCCCGAGCTCTTCTGTCTTCCAGCGACGTCAGGTGCAATTCACGCAGCTGTGTGTGTGTGTGTGTGTGTGTGTGTGTGTGTGTGTGTGTGTGTGTGTGTGTGTGTGTGTGTGTGTGTGTGTGTGTAAATCACCAAGAAATTAACACGTGTTGAACAATGTGACAGTGTCAGACCTCGAAGGAAGGATTAGGACAGGAATTTCCTCAAGTACTTTCGTATTTAATAATACATCTTCAGAAGGATGGATTTAGACTGACTAATGAAGATTAAACCACCCAAGAGGTGGCACGGGCATGAATAGCCCGTAAGTGGTAGATTTCTTTTTGGAGTGAATATGATCTTTGGTCGTCAAAGGATATACTGCCTACTGAGCTCGCATTTAAATTGACAGTCATATTGCTGCTATCGCGGGGGAGGATAGCGCTTGACAGTATTTATGAGGGTGTCCAGCTGCTGGACACTTCTCATTACCAGAAGAGTGGCAGTGTTGATGGCTTCAGGGTAATTACTGCAAGATTCAGGGACTCTTAAAGCTCTTCTGAAGTCTTTTTGAAGGAGCTAGTGAAGCAGTGGCTTTTCTGTGATTGTCTGATAGAAGATTTACAGTTAAGTGTGTGGATATATATAGATAAAAATGGGGCGAGGAGAGGTACAATGTCTTTAATGAGATAAGGGGATAGTAATAAGGTATTAGTGAGATAAACGTTATCAATGATCCCACTCAAATCATCCTTTAACTTATCAATCAAAAATGGATCTAAATTAGAGGTCCCCGTTTATCTTGAAGTGATAATAGAGTTCCTCTTCTCTGATAATGTGACAGATGAGGTCCTTTCTTTTGTAAAGTGACAGGTGATATTTTTTATTCCTTTCGCAATGTGACAGGTTAATGCTATCTTTCCTTTCCTTTCAAAGTGACAGGTGGGAGCGTCCGCCTGTCTATCAAAGCGTGAGATGACGGATAGGGGAGGTCTCTCCCTCTTGGCAAAGTGACAGAGATCACCTCTAATGTTAAAGTGACAGGTGCTGGGGGTAATTTTCAAGGGGACAGGTGGTAGGTCGGTCTGTCTGTCTGTCTAGGTGAGGCCGGGGGATGGGGGGGGGGAGGGAGCTCTAGTCCTAGGCCTCTGGAACTAAGAGAAACATAATCGCCTGAAGAGGGTCTGTAAATACCGTCTGCCTCAGAATGTCATTACTCAGGAGCCTCGGCCCACCCCATCTTAGCCTCGGCCCGCCCCATCTTAGCCTCGCCCCGCCCCATCTTAGCCTCGCCCCGCCCCATCTTAGCCTCGCCCCGCCCCATCTTAGCCTCGCCCCGCCCCATCTTAGCCTCGCCCCGCCCCATCTTAGCTTCGCCCCGCCCCATCTTAGCCTCGCCACGCCCCATCTTAGCCTCGGTCCGCCCCATCTTAGCCTCGGCCCGCCCCATCTTAGCCTCGGCCCGCCCCATCTTAGCCTCGCCCCGCCCCATCTTTAGCCTCGCCCCGCCCCATCTTTAGCCTCGGCCCGCCCCATCTTCAGCCTCGCCCCGCCCCATCTTAAGCCTCGCCCCGCCCCATCTTAAGCCTCGGCCCGCCCCATCTTAAGCCTCGGCCCGCCCCATCTTAAGCCTCGGCCCGCCCCATCTTTAGCCTCGCCCCGCCCCATCTTTAGCCTCGCCCCGCCCCATCTTTAGCCTCGCCCCGCCCCATCTTTAGCCTCGCCCCGCCCCATCTTTAGCCTCGCCCCGCCCCATCTTTAGCCTCGCCCCGCCCCATCTTTAGCCTCGCCCCGCCCCATCTTTCGCCTCGCCCCGCCCCATCTTTAGCCTCGCCCCGCCCCATCTTTAGCCTCGCCCCGCCCCATCTTTAGCCTCGCCCCGCCCCATCTTAGCCCCGGCCCGGAATGCATTAGCGTAAACGAGACCTGACCCGCAATACTAATTGGCATTAGAGGTAGTTTGCATCTCCTGTCGGTAGAGGGAGAGGGGTCAGTCCTGTAGTGGTTCATATCTCGTGTACTGTGTACTCTTATGGTGTACTGCGTACTCTTATGGTGTACTGCGTACTCTTATGGTTTACTGTGTACTCTTATGGTGTACTGTGTACTCTTATGGTGTACTGCGTACTCTTTTGGTGTACTGCGTACTCTTTGGGTG